GCAGGCCGTGTGGTTGGCTTGGCTCTCTCTGTGTCGCTGGCAGCTGCTGATGCCCATCACCTTCTCCCGTGCGGGGTTGCCAGCCGTCCACGTGCCACCTGGGCTTTCTTCTTCACTTATTAGATGTATTAGTTCTGTTCAGAGAAACCTCCCTCTGCCACAGTGGAGCTCTTATGGGGAAGTCAGAATAAAGTGTTGGTTTCCCTTGTTTTGCTTCTAGTTTCCAAGACAGTGAGTGTTCCCTCTCCCGCTCCAGCAGTGGCCGGTCAGTGGTGGCATTTATGTGACTTGCTGTTTATGGATTTAAGTTACTTGCTGTTTCAGACTATTGTAGTTACAACAGGTGGGGCAGTTGTGTGTCACTGGCCAGGGGAAGGCGCTTCAGTTGGTTCCTGAGCCTTTTGATGTGACCTTGGAAGCCTCTGACACTTGTTCCCTGGCATGGCACATTGTTCCAGGGTCATCGTGGACTTTCTTGCCTCAGACCCCTCTGAACCATTTCTCCAAGGTGCCCTTAGCTCTTTTTATGTCTGAAGTGAGGCTTGGGGATCACAGTGTGGGTGTCAGGGGTGCTCATGGCTCCCAGGGGGTGACTGCTTCTAAGCCTTCCCATTGCCCTGGTTACACCTTAGGATAGTATTTTTCTGCGAGACACAGGATGCTCGCCTATGTTATCAGTCTTGGAAATAGCAGTTAGGGGTCCTGGAAATGCTGGCCTAATTCAGATGCTGCTGCTGCCTGGAGGAATCTTATTTTACCAGCTGATTGACAGTGTCACCTCTACCTCACAGCGAGTGCCTCCTTCTCTTGTGAGAGCCCTATAGAGTGCATCTTTTGGATGCTCTTTCCTTGGGCCAGAAGAAAGTTCTAACCTCTCACCTCAACAGACAGCTTCCCGGTGACCTGGGAGCCTCTGCTCCTCCTTGGTGAGGAGCCTGCTGGAGCTAGAATGCCCTTCATTTGTGCCTTCTGAGGTGTTGCCTTCCTGTCTGTCGATTGTGGCCGACGTCTGCCTGCTCATGAGCGCCTCATCGTTTTCAGAGTTACGCTGGACCTCTGCTGAGCACAGGAGGACCTTGGCGCAGCTTGCCTTCCCAGAAGGCCCCGCTGTCCCATCCAATCCCATGTAGCTTTCGGGGCCTTTGGAGACCTCCATTTTCCCTCAGTTACACCAGTGACCATCCCTGGAGACCAGAGTGCTCCTTCTGCTGGAAGCCCTGCGTCTGGACTTCCGGTTGTGGACTGCAGGCTGTGTGGGGCAAAGGTGAGAGCTCTGGGCCAGGCCCAGGCTCCTGAGGGGAGCAGTGCCTCCTCGTTAGCAAGCATCCTTCTCAAAACAGATTGCAAGCGACTGTTAGGCTCCCACGGAGGAGGAGTGAATGTGCCCTCTGGAGAGCGGAGCATTGAGCTTACGCTCGGGAGACGTGATGTCATTGGCAGCCTGGGCAGCCGTGAAGGCCCCTGGAACAGCCCAAGCAGTGAACTCAGACTCTTGGGGAATGGCCCAGGGTCCCTTACTGGTAGGGACCCCACTGCACACAGCACTGACTGCACCACAGAGCAGATACTCGGTAAATACCAGTTGCATGCTTGAGTGCAGATTCCAGCATGTGCACCTGCTGCCTGGAGGTGCATATACTCTTTAGACCCCAGAAAGAAGGCGGCACCAGGTGTCCAAGCACAATGGCCACTGCCAGAGAACCCAGCAGCCTGCTGTTGAGATCTCAGCCTAGACCCTCAACCCATCCCTGGGCCTGCTAAGAAAAGAAGCTGTCCTTCAATCAGGGGGGCCTCTCCTCCTGCCCTCAGTCTCAAGAAGGTTCTGGATCTTGTGCTGGCAGCTGAGGGAAGAGCTGGCCGCCCTGGAGCTGCGTCAGTGGCGCTGTGGCGGGATGGTGGCCCGGGGGGTGGTCTGCTGCCTCATAGGTCCTCTTCAAGGCTGACATTGGGTGTGTGGGTCCTGGTGACTGAGACGTTACCTCATTCACAAAGTCAAGCCAGCTGGTCGCCACTCGAGCAGTGGGATTAACAGGGAAACCCTTCCAGCAATGGTCACCTCCGTGAGCACAGCAGAGAAGACCCTTGTCACCTGCCTCAGCTGTGGGTGAAGAAGGAGTTCAGAAGCCAGTCCTGGAACTTCAGGAGCAGGCTGGGGCTGAGCCAGGCGGGTCCTGGGGCATGAGAACCACCAGAGGGTCCGGCATCCTGCGTAGCCCAAGAGCACAAACCACGAGGGTGTCTGTGGGCCATCTGCCGTCTCCGCCACACGTCATCAGCTGGTTTTCACTTCTGAAGCATTTTACCTACGGTGGTCTTGGGCTATTAGATGAATTATTTTTGCGTCCATAGTTGACTAAATCCTTGGCAAGATGCCAGCCCCCTGGGGGTCACTGAAGACAGAAGCAGAGTCAGGGGATTCTCGTGTGAGACACGCACCAGCCTCTTTCTGAGTAGACAAAATGCATTTTGATTGAATTAAAGTTTTATATTTTTTAAAGAACAGACATAGGAAGACAATAACATCCAGGGCCATCAGTCAGCTGCACACACCTCGCGGACTCTCCTGGTCTCAGCCCGTGGCAGGAGGATGGCTCTCTGCAAGTGAGGACGAGCGCGGTCACGGGGCACCACGGCCATTTGCTCTGTTCTTAGTCTCATCCCCCATCCTTTGAGCCGTGGGTTCTTCTGCTTCTGCTAGGACGAGTCAGGACCCAGCGCTCACCATGTCACTTCCAGCCTCAAATTCACCTCTCCCGCCTGCTCTGAGACCTGCTAGGATGTGGGCCCTGCCCACCAGCCAGCCTCTCTCCTCTGCCACATGGTGTCCCACACTCCCAGGCCAGAGTGCCTGGAGGGAGGGTGCCCTGCCCTGGAGACCTGTGCCGTCCTGTCCCTGAACGGTGTCCCCCACCCCAGCACTCCCCTGTCCATGCCATGGTGAGGCACATGTTCAGCTTCCAGGCCAGCAGGTCAGCGTCTTTGCCACCTGTCACTTTGCCTCTCAGAGACCACTGAGGGACAGAGCCTGTTTTCTCGCCTGCAGCCCAGACTAACTGCACCCTCTGTGAGGCACTGTCAGGTGCCCAGGCTCTGTGCGAAGAGCCCCAGTGGGACAGGCTGGTCCACCAGGAAAACGGCTGCCCCGCCTCTTGTGGGTGAGGGGCCCTGGCTCTGTCTCCATGAGCTCTCCAGCTGATTCTCATCTTGACCAAAGAGCAGCTTAGTGGGATGAGCTTAGGAACTAGATAGTCCCTGGGCCAGCTGGGTGAGGCCCAGAGCCTGTGGGGAGAGGAAGGCTGGTGACACGAGAAGCCGATGGTGCCTAGGCACATCCAGCCTCTGTTAGCCTGTTGACTGACCCTGGCTGGGCTTTGTTATTAGCCAGACACTTGGTTTTATTTCAGATCTCCCAACTCCCGACGGGGTTATGTCCTGACAGACCCACCATTGCATGAAAACACCGTAAGCTGGGACACCTTGGCTTAATGGCACGGCATGCTAGAGTGCTGTTGTCACAGCTGCCTCATGTCCCAAGGGAGCCTCAAGCCACATAGCGTCAGCCCCAGCAAAGATTAAAATTCCAAGTGTGGTCTCTACTGGACACTTAGCACTTTCTCACCATCTGTGATAGTGGTGGCTTCAGTATTCCCCAGAAGCCCCAGGGTTGAAGGCTGGTCCCAGCTGATGGTGGTGCTGGGAGCTGGGGAGTCTTCAGGAGGCAGGCCTGGTGGGCGGAGGCTGGGTTGTTGGAGGCAGGCCCTTGAGGGGATGTGGGGACCCGCTTGCTCCTCTCCCTCTTTGCTTCCTGGCTGCCAAGAGGTGAGCAGCTTTGCTTCACCACACACTCCACCATGATGATATGTCTCACCACAGGCCCAAAACAGCAGCCAAGAGACCATGGACTAAAACCCCTGAAACCACGAGCCAAGATAAATCCTTCCTCCTTTTAGTCATCTCAGGTGTCTGAAAGCCATCAGAAAGCCAACTAACGTGACATTAGAACTTAGAAAAGCCACAGAGTGCGTCCGTCATAAGTGGAGACCATCTGAATTATGAGTCTCCTGCAGCCGCCGTGGGAGTGGAGAGACCCCACGGCCCTCCGTTCCATTCTGGGCATCTGTGTGGCTCCAGGTCACCACCACTGACATTGCTCTGCCTTGTGTCCTTCCCTTGGCCCCTGCTGAGGACCCGTCTCCTGGCCTAGTGCTGTCCCTGTGTGACCTGGGTCTTCCTCCCCTTGCAAAGCGCTCAGCGTGCTCATTTGCCGGCCAGGAGGCCAAGTCACAGTGAGCTCCTTCCCTGTCACCTGGCACAGCAGCTAGCCTGATGGGCAAGGCTTTCCACGGCAGGAACTGCGGCAAAGAAGGCGCCAAGGATGGCCCCTGGGAAGAGAGGCGGGAAGGGCTGGGAAGAGCCTTTTCGGTCATCAAGGAGGCCATGGGCAGAGCAGCCCTAGAAGGAGTCAGTCTCCATCCTGCGTGGCTGGGAAGGGGTGACAGGGAAGGGTTCTGTGAGACTGCATAAACTTATATTTTAAAAGTGTACAAGAGGGCTGGGGATGTGGCTCAAGCGGTAGTGCGCTCGCCTGGCATGCGTGGGGCGCTGGGTTCAATCCTCAGCACCACATAAAAATAAAATGAAGATGTTGTGTCCACCAAAAACTGAAAAGTAAATACTAAAAAATTCTCTCTCTCTCTCTTTCTCTCTCTCTCTCTCTCTCTCTCTCTCTCTCTCTCTCCTCTCTCTCTCTCTCTCTTTAAAAGAAAAAACTGTACAAGAAGATTTTATAAGTTGTTACCAGGCTCTATAATTTGGTCAGGTGTGGATTTTTCTAGGGTAACTTCAGAATTGGTTCAGGACTCGTTCAAAAACAAATCCTTCTCTTTGAAATAATCCACGGGGCTGTTTGGCCTCGGTCTCTGCTGGTGCTGGTGTTGTTCCTTCTGGTGAACTGAGTGCTTGCTGTGACATTTGCCCTCTCCTCTGTCCTGCTCCTGCAGATGGGAACTTCTTAGCCATCGGCTCTCATGACAACTGCATCTACATCTACGGAGTCGGGGACAACGGGAGGAAGTACGCGCGGGTTGGCAAGTGCTCGGTAGGTACACGCGTCTCGCCGACAGGAGCGCGGCATTCCCATGCCACATGCTGCCAGGCAGGGTGTGTGCCAGCGTGCCACTCATCAGCTGTCCTCCCCAGGGTCACTCCAGTTTCATCACCCACCTGGACTGGTCTGCAGACTCTCAGTACCTCGTGTCCAACTCCGGGGACTACGAAATCCTTTACTGTGAGTAACAACCCAGGAGGTATCTATATCTAGGTCACATGGGACGGTCGCAGTGAGACCAAATGGGCCCACAGGGCTCAAGCCTATGGTGTCCTCCCCGGGCCTCGGTTTCCTCCTCTGTAAGATGGAGGAGTTGCACAACCTCCCTGACCTTCCCGGTGCTGAGACACAGGGTTCAGGCTGGCGTGGGCTGTCTCTAGGAGGAGAGGCTGGGCCCTGCTGGAGAGGCTGAGTTGGGCAGTTGTGGGATGAGAATGGGGTCTGCAGCTGTCACAGCAAGAGTGGCCCTGGTAAAGGTGTCACCCAAAGCAGGTGGGTGCCACAAAGTCCCCGGGACCTCCTCCTCCTCCTTTCCCAGCCTCCACCTGGACAGACCTAGGGATGGGTGATAAAGGGTGGCACTTACTGAGCACCTAGGACCTGCCATGCACTAACTCCTCAGATACTACCTGGCCCCTGCTCTGGGCTAAGCAGAGGAGATCATGGAGTGTGAGGAAGGCCTGGCCTCCACCCCACTGGAAAGCAGCTGGAAAGTTCAGTGTCATTACCTACATTTCCTCCTGATCCACAGCACTTTCTGGCTCATCCCTTTCACAGAGAGGAGATTGGGGCTCAGGTACGGGCCGTGGGCCCAGAGCTGGTGGGTGGGGAGGAGGTCACGCCACCCGGGCATGTTGGCCTCTTGTTGAGCCAGGACAGGCAAGCACTGGGCAAGCAGCACTACAGGCCTGAGCCTCCCCCACCTGGTCCCCCAGCTCCTTCCCCAGGTCCTGCCCAACACAGGCACAGGGGCAGGTGCTGGTTTGGGGGGACGGTCTCTGGGTCTAAAACCTTCTCAGACACTCTCATTCCCCAGTGGTCAGAGCTCATCTGAGGGACAGTTACGTCACCTGGGAGTCTCTGGGCTCTTGGGGAGACTGGTTTCCATTTGTTTCCAGTTCCAACTTGGAGCCCCAGGTGCTGGGGCTGTTGGAGTGTGTTAGGGAGGGCTGGGCAGCCCGACCCCAGAGGCAGGGTGGGGTTCAGGTCTCCAGAGGGGTCCTGAGCAGCAGAGGCCTGAGGACCAGAAAAGCCAGACTGTGGGAATAGACTTGGGGGAGGAGATGGGAAGAAAACAAAGAAGAGGCCTACACTGAGCCTGGAACTTGGTCTCTATTCCCAGACAGTCCCCATGGGGTGGACGTGGGGGTGTCCCCTGCTGGGGCGCAGTCCTGAGGACTCAGGCTTACCCAGGGAGAGCTGGGGGCTTGGATTAAGTGTCACCAGACCATTGGCCTTTTCCAGGGGTCCCCTCTGCTTGCAAGCAAGTCGTAAGTGTGGAGACTACGAGAGACATTGAGTGGGCTACCTATACCTGCACTTTGGGATTCCATGTCTTTGGTAAGTTCTGCAGGTGTTTGAACACAAGACGTGTCTACTTTTAGGATATTTTTTAATAGTTATGAAGCCTCATAGTCTCCAGTCTTGTCAAATTGCTCGGCTTCAGCGTGTGCCCCACCAGACACCCCTTCAGCTCCCTGGAAAGGGCCAGGGTGACCCGGCCATGTCCAGCTGGGCAGAGCTAGAGAAATGGGCTTTTACCCCTTTTCCGTGATACAGAACAGGTGCTGAGATAGTTCTCTAGAATCTTCCACATCAGGTTGTGCCAGACACACCTAAATGAACCACATGGCACTCACTCCTTGTTATTTGTTAGGGTTTGACATTTTTTGGTCCTTAAACTAAATACTGCACTTTTGTTTAAGTTCAGTTTAGGAATATATTCATGAGTATCCTAAAATAAATTGCCACAATTGAGTAGAAAAAAAGGAAAGGTGGTATTGTCATCTTTTTTGAGAGACCACGATTCTATAGATTGGTAAAAATTTACAGTCTCCTTGTTTCTGTTGTTTTACCATTTTCTGGTGTTTAACACTAAGAGCCCTCTGTCTTCTCTAGAATGCCAGCTGAGAAGCCGACATGCACCTAGCTCTCTTATGCCCAAAGTTTCTGGAACCAAAAGGGTTTCCCAGACAATGGTATCTGCCCACCACCTGGACAGTGAGTGGCACCCACAGGCACCGCCTACCAGGCAGCCAGCAGACAAATGGCAGCCCTCAAAACCAGCACCAAGGAACATCTGGAAGGCACACAGGCCCAGGGCTAACCAGTCCTGGAAACTTTCACATGTAAAGAGTAACCCCCCCAAAAAAGGAAACTGTAACCTTGGGGACTAGTCAGCCTCCATCAGATGATCTGGGGAAAGGTGTTATGTCCAGAGGGGCCTTAGAGAGGTGGGCACCAGAAAGCCTGCCATTGGTCCCCACTCAGCACCGCAGGGCTGTGTGGAAGGGCTTCCTGAGACCAGCCCGAGTGGGTGAACCTGAAACCCGAGGAAAGGCCCCCCTCAGGCCAAGCCCCTGCCTCTGAAGCAGCGCCTCGAGGCAGCTCTGCGGTGGTGACACCCGGGGCCTGCTCCTGGCCCCCTTCCTCTCTGGTGTCTCAGTGCTGTCTGTGGTCTGTTTCAGGAGTGTGGCCGGAAGGCTCGGATGGAACTGACATCAACGCCGTCTGTCGGGCCCATGAGAAAAAACTGCTGTCAACGGGGGACGACTTCGGCAAAGTGCACCTCTTCTCCTACCCCTGCTCTCAGTTTAGGGTGAGGAGGTGTCCTCGCTAGTCTCCTCCCTCGCGGCCACCATGTAGATGTGACACTGCTCACGTCAGCTCTGAGCACCTGCGCAGCTCCCCACTGGAAAAACCGCAGGTCCACGGTCACCTGTGCAGCTTCTGCACCTCCTCCCTCTCCCACCCACGCTCCCTCTGCCCCAGCCCCGCTGAGCCCACCCCATGCCGGGAGCCCCCCCCCCCTCCTGCAGCAAGGAGACCCTCCCTGCTGCCCTAGCAGCCAGTCAATCCTGCTTCTGGGTGGACCCCTCCCGGCGCCACCTTCTGATACTTGAGGTACCTCGGCCTAGGGCATCACTTGGCTCGTCCCCACCAGACCACAAGGACTCCATGGAGTTTGTGTCTGTGTCCCTCCTGTGTCCTGCACCCCCAGCAGGTGCACGGATGAGAGCTTCTGCTTGAGGAAGAGCATGACGGGGTCCAGGTCTGAACATGGAATTCTGGTACTTTCTGATTCCACTCCTGCTTTGCAGTAAGCTTTTTTCTCTGTGTCATCGTTTCCAGGCTCCAAGCCACATATACGGCGGACATAGCAGCCACGTCACCAACGTCAACTTCCTCTGTGAAGACAGCCACCTCATCTCCACGGGCGGGAAGGACACAAGCATCATGCAGTGGCGAGTTGTGTAGGCCCTGCCGGAGCCGCGGGAGCAGATTGCGCCCAGGAGACACAGATTCGCGTTCCACTTGGTCACTGTGATTTCTGTTTTGTCTAAAAATTCTTACAACCTCAGGAAAACTATCCCTCTACCGGTTACCTTAGCTTAGGGAGTCCGCGAGCGCCCTGCCAGAGAGCGGTCCCCTTTCCGCTTTTCTTGTATAATATATAAAACTGTGCATATTGCATATAGAAAAGGTCCCAAGGTCTACGTGACCGTGGCATCAACAGAAGAAACTGGTGTCACTTTTCTATGAACTTTTCAAAAATGGTCACAGAATGCCTTTTAAAATATTGTACATAGTCTTCACTGTTCCACCATCTAGCTTGCTAAGTCCAGTATCAGTGATGACGAGGTACTGAACTTGACCGCCATTCACCAAATGGTCCTTGAGAAGAGTGAACACTGATTTTGCACAGATGGATTGGGAAATGCAAATATGAGACTTTCTTTGGTTACATTTTCTAAGATGTCGTTCTGGTCCCCCTTTGGGAGGCTGGTGATAGGGGGCTCGTTCCTCTGTAGGCAGCCTGTGCTTCAGACCAACTGTCGCAGCAGGGCACACGGGCGCAAGAGTATGCGACTTAGACTGTCGTCCTGGCCACTCGCAGTCAGCCCCTGAGCACCTCTGTGAACCACAGCCCCTCTGCTCCCGCTCACGTACCCTGATCAGCGGCAAGACGCTCGGCCGCCTTCCCTTGTGTGTTAACTGGCATGATATGGTGTTGTACTTGTGTAGGATGCTAGCAGCTCATGACAGACCCTCAAGGCTAGTTCCACTGCTTTACGCTTACGGATATTGTACATTTGTATTTTACGATCAAGTAGACCAAGCCGAGGAGGAATCTCCTCCGTGTCCCGTCAACCCGAGGGGAGACGTCTCAGAAGGCTCCAGGCACGAAGGCGGCTTCTTCTGTCTTTTGTGCGTGGCTGGCTCCCAACAGTATGGAGTAAGACCGTGTCCTGATGAGTAAGACGCAGGTGGTATCAATCTGTCGAGAAGGCCTTATCCATTGTGGGACAGATTGAAATTCATTGTTTACATTGGGGAATATATCTTGGATTTTTAAATAGAAGAGTAATAAACCAACTTAAGAACAAATATTAAGATTTTTACTCATTCTAGGCAAGTGAGTGAATTGCGTCATCTGAATGTCACGGCACTGGATGTTTTCAGTGGCTGATTAGGTGTGACGTTTGGAAATAGTCTTCGTGACATCTCCAGCCTGCCATGGCAGTGCAGGCACCTGTAAGCAACATGTATTAAAGATGACTGTTTGTATTATCCTTATCAAATATATTCTATAATGAAATAAAACTTGAAAAGTGGATTTCTTATTGACCTATATTCGTGAAAGTATATACATTAAAATATTTAAAATCAGATTCGATTCATACTATATTCTGTTTCACATACAGATTGTCTTCACCTGGGTCGTTTGCAGACAGAACTGTTTTTTCCTATGGAGGGGAAGCATTCATCAGATGAGATGGCTCTGGAGAATGTGGCTGGATCACAAGCCCATTGTTAGTTCCCTTTGTTATGCAAACACTGGTGAAAAGCAATTAGTCCTAAATGGATAATTGAAGGAATAATGAGCTATAAGGATGAGAAAGAGATCCATTATGGACTTGAAACTCAAAATGTGGCATATATACACACACTAGGATTTTGTGTATAGATTCATATGCTGTTTTATTAATTATGAAGATAGCTATAGTAGTTTTACATCTAGTAATATAGGCAATTATGAAATAGTACTGTGGCTGGATGATGCGCTAGGAACCTTGCAGATGGTGGTTGCTCTCCGGTTCATGGTGAGCAATGACTGCTTCCCACCACTTATCACCCCTCAGGCAAGCAAGGCCTAGAGCCTTTGGGATTCTTCTGGAGCAAGAGGCTCCAGGAAATGGGCAGCTGCTGGCCTGTGAGGCCAAGTCGTCTTGCTCTCAGGAGCCTGTGGCCCTATTAGCTCTTAGCCTGGCTTCCCTGCCACATGTGAGACAGGGAAGTAAAGCGTGCTGTTTAATTGTAGATACAATAGGTAAGTTTGTTAGCATAAGAACATTCCCAAGTGAAAAAAGATCTGAAGGGATTTTTTCTCCCAGCACTAGGGGTTGAACCCAGGGCCTCATGCACGCCAGGCAAGTGCTCTCCCACTGAGCTACACCCCCAACCCTTTTGATTTTGAGACAGGGCTCTCACTAAAGTGCCCAGGATGACTTTGAACTTGAGATCCTCCTGCTGCAGCCTCCCAAGTAGCCGAGGTTACAGGCGTGAGCCACTGCCTTGGCTGCATTTACAGATTTTAACATCTGTGATTTCCACTGTGTGGTGCGCCCCAGCAGTGGGGTAGGAGGAGGCTACCTTGGGCAGGGGCTGTCTGGGTTCACTGAAAGGTCAGATTCCATCCCTCAGCTCGTCCTTCTGTGATTGGGGGCAGGCTGCCGTCACTCCAGCTCACAGGCAGAACTCACAGAAGTGCCATGTGACCTTCTGGCCTCTGTCTGGGAGGCATTTGCCAGGCAAAGCCAGCTGAGAAGCCTGCACTTTGACTAGGCCCATCCTTCCAGCAGGTTCTCTCCCTCCATTCTTTTAACTCTATAGAGAATTTCAAACACCCAAAAGTGGAGAGAGAGTTACCCAACTTCAAAGATCCTGGACACTTAGAAATTCTCCTCACCTGCTGGAGCATTTTAAAAGAAAATTCCAGCCCCTGTGTCGTTTCACCTGTGAATACTTGTCTGCTGCTCTGATGAGGACCTGCATGGACCTCCATGACGTCATCACGGCTGACAGAAGTCTCGATGGCGTCAGTGCCTAGGTTTGTTAAACCCGCCCACATCTCAATGCCAGGCACCACCTGGACACGAGCCACACACAGTGAGATACACCACATGGCCTGCCTGCCTGCCAGGGAAGCTCAGCACAGGGGCTCAAGCCTGCAGGTGCAGCTCACATCTGAACCAGAGCCTGCTCCTCCAACCCTGACCCCAGTCCTGCTGGCTGCCCACAGCACCCCTGCCCTGCCATCCCAGAGCTGGATGCCCAAGCTGTCCTCCTGAAACCCAGACTTCCTCCAGTCCCTCCTGCCCAGGGTCCCTGTGCTGCCTTAGGCGACCTAGGGACCTTCCCTCGCTGGGTCCCCAGCCTGGATCCTCCCTCCCTCAGCCGGCAGACTCACAGGAGTGTCTCAGAAATTGTACCCTTTTGAAGGAGGGAGACTTCCCTTCAGGAATCCCAGTGCCCTCTGGGGCAACCTTAGTGGTCCAGCATCTCTCTTCCACATGTTTTAGCAAAAACAGGCACAAAGCCAGGCACAGTGGCACACGCCTGTAAATCCCAGCCACTCAGGAGACTGAGGCAGGAGGATTGTGAGTTCAAAGCCAGCCTCAGCAAAAGCTAGGTGCTAAGCAACTCAGTGAAACCCTGACTCTAAAATAAAATACAAAATAGGGCTGGGGATATGGTCGCGTGTCCCTGAGTTTAATCCCCAGTACCAAAAAAAAAATGGGCCTAAGCTCAAGCTCACACCAAGGAATTGGCAGTAGGCGGTAGGGTGCATCTTCATCTTCTGCTGACTGTTCTTGGTCCTGTGTGCAGCTCTGCATCCAATAAGCCTGAGGGGGGTGCAGATGGAGGGGCTCCTGAACACAGATTTTTGTCCAAGCTTCCAATATGGACCAGTGAAGAACAAATTTGGCTATTTAGGCTTAAAACAAAATTAGGCGCCTTAGCATCCCTAAGATGAACAATGTATAGGTAATTATTAAAATTTTAAACTTGGGTTTGACTTAAAACTTGCCACTTGCCTTCCCTAAGTGACAAGTCCCGCTGCTGGCTACTTGTGCACCACCTGGTGGCAGAAAAGCAGAGCACAGCCCTTCCCTACCTGCAACTGGCCCAACCTGGTTCTGCCCTCTGTGGGGCTGGGGTGTGGAGGCGGAGGAAGGGAGACTCTTGTCTGACTACGATGGTCTCCCTTCTGAGGGGCATGTGTTCCCCCTGACTCTTCTCAGAAGAGCTTCAGAGGTTTCTGGAGGACAGAGCAGCGCTGACGGTCCCTCACCTATAGTCCCCTGGACCCAGGTAAAGATGTTCTGCTCAAGTAGCTATTTTCTCCTTCCATGGCTCCCAAGCACAAGGAGGCCGGTCTCCATGCATCCTCCTCTCATGGGGATCCCATCGCCCCTCCAGGTGGCCCTGTTGGGCAGAATCCTAGGTGATGCACTTGGTCCTCTTGGTGGGGCTCACATCTTGGGTGGGGGAACGTTTGTACCTCCCACAGCCCAACACCAGTTGGAGGCCAGGCTGAAAGCCACCCTCTGGGTGTCTGGCTGAAATTTTCAGCCACTGATCCAAAAATCCCAGAGGGCCCACGTCAATCACTCCAGGTGGCCTGGGAGGAGATGGAACCCCCCACCTCCTCCCTCCGAAGAGGAAAGGATGGAATCAACAATCAACTCCCCCCAAAAAAAAATCCTTAAAAATACTTTTTAAATTTCTAATTCCTGACCCTTTATGCCCTTCGCATGGATGAAGGCATCTAAGAGGCTCCTTGGGCACCTCCCTCGTGTCCTCTGCCCCGGTTGGCAGTGCCTTCGTGGTTCCACAGCTGCTGGGCCTTGGATCCTCAGCTAAACATCAGTTCAACATCCAGCTACACAAATGGTGCTGCTGTGGGAACTCTTTACAGTTTCCTTGTGCATCTGTGCCAGAGATCCTCTGCCTCACTGTGGGACCACCACTCTTCTAGGCCTGCACCAGTGCTGCCAGCTTCCTCCCGCCAGGGACCAGTGTGGGCGAGGCCATCGCCCCACCAACCACCCTTGGAATTGTCACTGCATATCATCTACCACATAAGATCAGTCCCTTTTTTGACAATGAAGAGGCAGAGGGTTAGTGAGATGAAGGCCCTGGCCCAGGTCACTCCACTGATCCACAGCAGAGTGAAGGGTAAGTCCCAGATGTCACAAGCCACCTCCTCGCCAGCATTCTCCGGCAGGTGTCTAGAGAGCACCCTTGAGGAGTTACTATGGGGTTCCAAATAAGGTTAGAAGTGTCCCGCACCCTGTGTACACAAATGGAGCGGGACACACAGAGACTAGAGGGCCCGCGTCCCGGCAGAGCCTGGGCAGCTGCTGTAATGAAAAGGCACATCCCCAATAGGCATTGAGTACTGGCCAGGTTTGGCTGTCCCCATCCACCATCTTGGTAAATGGTATGGGAGAAGGCTGACCTGAAGCCTCATGGGAAACGGCACCCAGGAACCCAGGGTCTTCGGCTCCCGCAGGGTCTGTGGAGAGTGCTGAGGCTGGCGCCTAAGGGCTCCGTCATTCCAGGGACCTGGCCAGTGCTCACAGTGCCGTGGGTTCCTCTGCAGCCGTCTTCCCCACCGATGTGTAAAACTGGGTAACTGGAGCCCTTTGGGGTACCGTGGCAGTGTCTCCGCCCCTGGATGAGAAGGACCCAAACCTCTCTTCTTACTCCTTTATGGGGGTTGCTGTGACAATTGGAGGCACAGGATGGGTGACACTGGGTGAGAACATGGTTAAATATTGTGGTTTGTAGAGCTGGATTGTGGCTCAGTGGTAGAGTGCTTGCCTAGCACGCAGGAGGCCCTGGGTTCGATCCTCAGCACCACATAAAAATAAATAAATAAAGGTATTGAAGTGGGTACCCCTTTCTCCACAGAAAAGCCCTCTTCACCATGGCTGATTTTGGGACTGTCCACAAAAGAGTCTCTGCTAAAGAGCCCAATGTAGATAAACTTCCTATTTTCGTGTCACCCTGTTTACTTGACCACTGGCCGAGAAGATTCCAGCACTCCAGGTGCTGGACACCCCCTTACTAGTTTTCACAAACTAGTAAGTATAGTACTTTGAAGAAATGTGCAAACAAGGCCTCTGGCCTTGAGCTGGGCTTCACAGAGATGTCTACATTCTTAAGATAAGTTACAAATGGGCTCCAAGGTAACAGCTGGCAGGGGAGGAAAGGAAGGGGAGAAGAAGCTTTCCCCTTCTCAGGTGTTGTCCTTGAAGAGTTAACGTGCACAGAACAGTGGAAGCAAAAGCTGCTTTTATGTGAACTTCTGCAGATTTGAACTTCCGAGCCCCTCCTCTTACACACTGGGTATAAAACTCTGAAACTCCCTGAACTCGGGGTTCAGGGGATTAATTGATTGCAGCAAAAGCTGTGCCCCCTGAACCTGGCTGCAGCCAAATAAAACTGTTTCCTGCTGTCTTCGGTGCCTTGCCTCGTGTGTCCATCTACAACTAAAAAAAATTTTTTTTTAATTGTAGTTTGTAACATTCGGGGCCCACTCCCCTCCTTACCATACCTTCACTAGGAAACTGCCAGTCTCCCTGTCACGGTGAGGCTGA